CATGTTCTCTTATATTAAAGCCTCTATCTGCCAGCACAATGTCACCTGGTAACAGCTTGTTCAGGAAACCACTTTGCTCGGTTATATGCTTGTCGCTTGTGCGCCCACCCCACCCGTTCGATATGAAGGAAATTACACCCTGGGGCGTGATCACGATTAGGTATTTCATAGTGTATGCGTGTTTGTATTGAGAAAAAGTCTGTGCCCTTGCTAGTACATTGGAAGGTTTCTCGATGAACACCTCGAAGCAGTCCACAATGGCAGCCACATTGTTCCCAAATGACTCCACAAACTGGTGTGGCATACTGGTCAATAAGCATTCCCTACTTGGCCAGTGCACCAATGGACACAGCTGTGCGTACATCACACCAAGGGTATGGTGAAAGGCATCGGCGACTGTTGTCCTATGTACTCTAAACAGATGGCTGAGGTGCTGTATTGGAAGGTCCAGTCTGAGGCGCATTAAAGTCAATAGGACAAGCTGGAAGGGTGAGAGCTTCTTCATTCTGCCTTGAGGCAGATCTGGAGTTAGGTAGAGTAGAAGTGTCTGGAACAATGCAAAGTTTGGAAGCCCCGTGTAATACTTCACTGTGTTATCATCACCACTCAGAAAGTTCTCATTCATCCGGTACGTATCAAGCTCACGCTTCAGCTGTCTGTTTTCTTCAAGAAGATTGTTGATAACATCTCGTCTAGATGTGCAGAGTCCACATTCCATGTCCGGGTCAGCTGGCGGCTGGTCTAGGGCTGGCGGCGGCGGCGCCTGCGGCTGGTCTAGGGCTGGCGGCGGCGGCGCCTGCGGCTGGTCTAGGGCTGGTGGCGGCGGCGCCTGCGGCTGGTCTAGGGCTGGTGGCGGCGGCGCCTGCGGCTGGTCTAGGGCTGGTGGCGGCTGCAGCTGGTCTAGGGCTGGTGGCGGCTGCAGCTGGTCTAGGGCTGGAGGCGGCGGCGCCTGCGGCTGGTGTTGGGCTGGAGGTGGCTGCCGCTCCAGTGGCAGGGACCTGCGCCTTACTTGCCGCTGATATCTCGCTTCATCTGTTTTTTGTACATCATTGTGGCCTAACAACAGGGATGGTGTCCAGTCAGGGTGGTTCTCCAACATCTCATATGCTGGTTTACCTACACGAGAATAATAACAACATATAATTAATATAATAATTTGCACAATCTATGTAATCAATGCTTTAAACTGGCAACTATGTCATGAACAGCATCTCAAGTACTTTTTAGGTCACCTCATAATGTCATATGAAGGTTTATGTACAACAGAATAATTAGATTATGTGTACAATCTATGTAATCTATGCTTTACACTGGCAAAGACCTCGCAGAACACGTGCTAAGTAAGAAACAGCCTGAGAGGGTAACAAAGACACAGAGACAAAGGCACTACAGAAACCATAATAACATATGCTAACCTACACTTCCTAGCTTTAAGAGACAATTACATAAATACATTTTTAGAGAACGTACCAGAGTGAAAATGCAGAGAACACACTCTCGTCGACAGGGGTGTGTGATCGAAAGTAAGGTCCTTTCTTCTAATTGCAGCCAACCAAGCAATCCGACGTCTCCTTGTCAGGTCAGAGAATTGCTCCCCTTGATGCTTTTTCCATTTCGGTAACCTAAAAAACTGTATCCCGTTGTTACTAGGTTTTCCATATCCATCGTGGGAGGTATTGGAGCAGTTTTTAACGCAGCAGTTATTTCCAGGCATGATAAAACAGTGCGGAATAGCAAGAACCTCCGCTACTACCGCGTTCACAACACACGTAAACAAACTGTACTGCCGCCACCGGTGCGCAGCCAATATGTCGGCAAAGGGGGGATGGGGAGGGGGGACTCTGTGCCGTGACGTCAACTCCTCATTCTCAATTAAAAGCATCTGCCTCTGTCTGTGCGCTTTAGCTGCCGGCACTAGGACCACTACGTGGATTAGCGCCCTCTCAGCTGTCTTCGCGCCGAATGAATGACAGATAGCATGATAGTGATAAGATATGTAAACAATGGCAACGCCGGCCGGCTCTTGTGTCCTACTGGACACAAGAGTTTGGTTTTGTGTTTGTGAAGGACCGTGCTGTGTGCACTTTATGCTGTGAAAATGTTGTGTGCAGAACTTCAAGTGTTAAGCGTCATTTTGAGACGAAGCACGAGAAGACCTTCAAAGACCAATCAGACAAAGTAGAGTCAATTAAATGTGCTGTGTCCAGATATGGAAAACAAGCTAGCTCCTTCAGGGTTTTTACCACTGCTAAAAATCACGGGACAGAAGCAGCTCTCCCTCCCCCACACGAATAAACAAAGCCCACCCCAGGCCCCTGCTGTTATAAGTCATTACCTACATTTGCAAATCAATACATGCAAATGTTAGCAGCCAACCTATCCTTCTTTTCAAAACAGGGGCCAACACGCAAACTTCGAATCATATATATAATAAGCCTCTGAATTTATTCTTTTAAATAATGTTGTTATAACACTCACCATTAATGCGACTTCTGGTGCTGGACTGTAAAAAATACAACTCAAAATTGTTCACCTTACTAAGATTTTTGCATTCACTGACAATAAAATTGCCAGTTGGAACTTATGAACAATAGAAGGCCATGGCCTGTATAGTAGTACAAAAACAAGATAAAATAGAAGTACAAGACACACAATGTTCTTTGATTGTATATCTGCTACGATTGTGTATCCGTTGTTTTTAGCTGACTGACGCCAATATATCCAATATATAATGTTTCCCTGTTTATTGTTCTGCCTGAATCTACCACCTGTTGTGAATAAACTTCCAGGTTGCTCTGGTGTGCAAAGATCCCTGCCTATGCGTCTGATTTTCGACACTCACTTTCTGAAGTTTCTGATGAAAAGTTCATCTTATTTGATATATTAAGTTGATTTGACTTTTAAGTTGTAGTGAACTTCTGAAAGTTCAAGTGGCTCACAAGATAGTTCCAGTTCCAACTGGAAATTGTATTGTCAGTGAATGCAAAAATCTGAGTAAGGTGAACAATTTTGAGTTGTCGTTTTTACAGTTCACCGAGCTATAGTGAGGTCAACTTATCTGCGTTTGCTCATTTAAATATGTGTTATGGCAACCAGCTGCATTCAACATTTTGAACAAACTAATTTGACCAAAAAAATCACTGTATTTATTTTTACCAACCGTAATCGACAGGGCCAAGCCAAAGTAGCCCTTTATATTCTCTGGGTCAGTCTTAGAAACATTAAGTTTCCCCTCTGGTTCACAGTGTGTGCGGCACGGTGGCTGAGTGGATAACACTCTCGCTTCTTGACACGAAGGTCCTGGGTTCGAATCCCGGTCGGAACAGGGCCTTTCTGTGTGGAATTGGCATGTTCTCTGTGTCTGCATAGGTTTCCTCCGGGTGCTCCGGTTTCCCCTACCCAAGTGACCTTGGTCCATGAAATGCGCTATATAAATAAACATCATGATCTTTTAATGTGGGGGCTAATTTAAACTCAAAATAGTTGTAGGGGACAGTAATCTGAACTTAAAAAAGTAAGTTTTCACAGACTTGAAATTTCCAGTAACTTGAATTTAAACACTTAGTTGGCAGAACTTGGAAAACTTAACTGACACAACTTAATAAGTGTAGTTCTTCAAAACTTGAAGAATTAAGTTAATGCCTTCAACTCAAAAATCCTTCGCAGCTGGTTGCTTTGAAATTTTGAGTTGAACTAACTTTATCTTTTTTACAGTGTGCATGGACCAGAAGTCCAATTAAAATAATGGACAATTGCTCCTGCAGCCCTGAACAGGACATGCGAGATGCGCGGGTCGGCCCGAAACCCGCAGTCAACCCGCGGGTCCCGCGGTTTTGGGCGGGTTGGATGCCTCAAAAATATGAGTCATGTCAGGTGCGGGTGGGTCGGGTCAGAAAGCTCCTGATCCCTATATAATATTATATATGTGAGCCACGGTATGGGAGTCCCTTGAGTACATTTGCAATCGCGCAGGGAGGCTGTTAAACAAAAAAATCATGCTGACAAACAGGATCGCTCCTTCCTGACTCCCCGCTTAAAGCCTCAGAACACTCCAGCCCGAGGACAGACGTGTGATCTACACAGAGGCACCGAGACTGATGACGGTGTGGGCCTCACAGCAGAGGCCTAAAGCAGGGGCCTCATTACTTTACAGTCTGTGGTAAATACACGGGCTACATGTGGTACACGTGCTTAGACTATATTAATATTGTATGTGTAACATTCAAAATAGATTGAGTGAATATTCCCTTTTCCTCATTTAGTGATTTGCGGAGGAGAGGAGAGGAGCAGCGAGAGAAGTTTGGCAGTTGAAATAAATGAATTACAGCTTGCTAAATTATTTGAAAGCATCTTCATTATGATTGTTATATTTATGTATTTATTATAAATGTTAGACATGCCAGAGAAAAGGCGTCTGCTTTTTTTCTGAGTGGGAGGAGACACCAGCGGAGCTGTTTGAGTCAAATAACGTTCAGCGTTATATTACCAATAGTTTCTCTTTCCATAACGATATTCTCTCTTTTTGGAAAGATCACCAACGTGATGCAAAAGTTTACGTTATATGCAGTAGTTTTAATGTCTGCGGGTTATTCCAGAGACTGGCCTGCTACAAGGAGTTGCCCGTTTAAACCAGATTGTCGATGTGCGCGGGGCAGAAACTCGCCAATGTAACCCTGCTCACAAGTGCCACCGGGTGGTTGTTTTGGTCATTGCAACGTCACTGGGAGGGGGGAAAATAAAAGACGCGTGAATCACACGTGATTCTCGTGTGATTCACGCGTGAAAGGCGACAAAACGGAATGGGACCTACTGTACATGATCATGGTCTTTGTAGATCCAAATATGACCTCTTACAACTAACCCATCATGTAATAACGAGTATAGCACACTCGATTTGTGCTATTTGATAAACCCCAAGTGAAGACAAAATCCCAGACCATACCTATAAATGTTCCATCAAGTAGTCATATACGATTTATAAGAATGCAAATGGTCCATACGTGAGTGTCTGGTTGGGTTCGGTCTGCTGCAGCTGTTTCCCCAATCCAAAGCCGAAGAAACTGATGGCCATCATGGGAGCGACTCCGGCCAGAGGAGCCCCCATGCCTTTGTACAGGCCCAGCAGACCCTGTGGTCAGAGGAAAGAGTGTCAGTATGGAGTTACTTACGGACGTAATCCCAGATATAATTTTTGTTGTATGATGATTGTAGGGCACTTTTAAGATCTTTTGGGTTACATGCAGATTAAATGCATTTTAGGAGCAGTGTATGTCACTCGAGTCACACAGCAGTGTCTGCCCCAGACAAAAGTGGTTCAGGTGATGTTCGAACAGAAAAGTACACAAACGTACTATACTGGTCGGTCAGACTAGAGTTGGTTTGGACTGTTGGTCAGACTGTGGACTGGTTTAGTATCCACAGTATCCAAGCTGGAGTTGGTTTTGGAGTGTCAGTCAGGCTGTGGATTGGGTTTGGACTGTTGGTCAGGCTGTGGACTGGGTTTGGAGTGTCAGTTAGGCTGTGGCCTAGTTATAGAGTGTCAGTCATTCTGTGGACTAGATTTAACTGTTGATCAGCCTGTGGACTAGTTTTGGAGTGTGGGTGAGGCTGTGGATTGGGTTTGGACTGTCGGTCAGGCTGTGGACTGGGTTTGGACTGTCGGTCAGGCTGTGGACTGGTTTTGGACATGCCTAAAGGTGTGCCAATGCCTTTAGTTTACCTTCACAATGTCACTGTTCCATACTGGCTTTTATAGTGTAACAATTAGCTGTTCCTTGTATGTCTTACCTCTTTGGACACAGTCTTCTTGAAGCAGTCATACGTCCCTGAGTACAGCACATATTCAGCAGCTTTGGGCTGAGTCTGCAGACGCACCTGTCACAAAATGACCATTATTAGTTTAGTTTATTAGCATAGCTTGTTCTTGCTGGGTTTTTATCATAATCAAACATAATCATAAGATACACAGAGGAGCTCCGTCACATGGGAGCTTGTTGTAGAGCCGCTGCTCCACCACATTGAGAGGAGCCAATTGAGGTGGTTTGGGATTCTGTCGGCCTCCTGGATGCTGCCCTTGGGAGGTGTCCTGCTACTCTACTCATCTTTCCTCTACCTGATAGCGTTACCGTTAGGCTTTAGGATCTGGTATCCAAAACAAACCAGTATCTGTGGAAATTCTTTGGTAACCCTGACCACCAGTAGCACTCTAGTCAATCGCTGTGAGTTTAGTCAGCTTCAGTACCAGCTCCGCTTGAATAGAACCAGAACCAAGCAGGTACTAAACAGTACCTGCTACCGGTTAAACATAGCAGGAGGAAACTCTCCCAACCGGGAGATAGTAAAGATGAGTAGGGCTTCTGGAAACAAGGCCTATGTCAGTCCAGAAGTTATAAAAGTTATAAAAAGTTATAAAACAAAAGAAAATTGATGGAACACTCTAGAGCTGTGGCATAACATCAGGTTGTAATTGGAAATAAAAGCAAAAAACAGTTAGATAACATGTTACAAGGATAATCCCCACCCACTGCTGCAGCATTCTGATAACTAATGAAGAGATAAGAACTAACATAGAAGAAATGTGATCCTTTTCAAGCCGTTTAAGCCTAATTATTGTATTTTTGGTCATTCGTGGTAGTCCAGGTCGTGAAGTTTCTAAACCAAGGACATACACTGTACATATCGCCAACAATAGCAGAACAGATGTTTTCTGTCACACGTGAAGTTGAACTGAAAGTCTAAGAATAGAAATACCACCGTGACTGTCGTAACTCAGACGGGCTGCCACTTTGGCTCATTATTTTGTCCTGTCCCGACTGGAGCTACATGTTGTTACATGCAACAGCTACAGCAAAGTGCCTAGGATTTAGAGAGATTAGTGTCATGGGCTGACCAGGTTTGACCATGACTCTGTGACCTCTCCCTCTGCTGAAGCAAACACCTCCACCTGCTTCCTAGAAAGATCCACGGTCTTCACTTCACTTCTATGGTCAGATGTGACTGTGGTCAGATGTCATCACTGACTGGTGTTTCCAGTTGCCTTGTTCTCTGCAATCCTGTGTTTAGTGTGTCAGCATTGACATAATTTACCAAGCATACTGCAAATAACAGGCAAGACGACCCATAATAAACAATTATTATTCTATGAAGAGAGGTTAGGGGCAGATAAAATTGCCTCTATCACATTTCAGCTTATACCCTCATATCCTTGCTCATGCAATCACCTACCAGCCATAGACTATCAGCCCAAAGAGTCAAATAGTAACTCACAGGGCACTTTCTTACAAGTATGAAAAAGACACATGTTTTCTAATGGGATAAAGACAGCCTGTTGTGATGGTTTAAATAAATCCAACCAATACTTTCTTTCACTTCCACAGCAGAGACACCCAGAATTCCCTGTCCACACACTTCCTCCAGCTCTGTCAGGGGAATCCTGAGGCGTTCCCAGGCCTGGGAGATATCCCCCCCATAGAACTTCTCCACTTGAGGAAGGACCTCTCTACTTGAGGAGAGCATATGGCCTCGGATTTTGGAGGTGCTGATCTTCAATAAATAATATGATTTTTTTTGTGGAATTATAGATTCATGTAATTACAGAACTCCATTTGGAAGTTTGAAAGTAAGGCACCCCAGCTTTAAGTTTGGTTTGAAAACTGGCATTGACTACACTGTCTTTCAAGATTTGTGGATGTCCCTCTGCAAGATGTGGGGGAAATACTTTTGAGATGGTTCCTAAACCCAGTTGAAAAGTCACACGATAACCATAATATTCTCACACAGACACACTTCTTTGCCAGACTAGTGTCTAGTTGCTTTTTCCTTTTAACAAAAAGCCATGGTGACATTTTAATCTGATAATCCTCTCTGAAACAGGGTCTAATCACTGACGCTGTAGTCGACAGAGAATAATTAGGCTAGTTTTACATGGAATGTCTTGAGTAGTATTGTCTGTAGTATTTCATGCTAATGTCTTTGGACTGGCTCACTGGGGTAATTGTATGACTGTGCCTCAATGCCACAGAGGTGGTAGTAGTAGTAGTAGTAGTAGTCTTTATTTTGAATTATTAATTGTGCAATTCGAAAAGGAGTAGGTAGAAGTGAAAATTATGTTTCCTACCCTTTTTCAGGAGCCATGTCGTGGTCCAAAGAAGGGGGCTATACAGTTTCTGGTCAGGACCTAAGCAAGAGGATATGGTTTGGGCGATGGAGGAAACCAGACTCACCTAGACACAAGGGGAACTTACAAACTCAATACTGAAAGACCCGGTCCAGCCATTGAGCTATCATTAAATCGCTAGTGTTGTGTTTTGCAGGCATGTTGCAGCTTAAACAACCAGTCCATTAGTACTATACAAACTACTCAAACTCAAAAGAACAAAACACACATTTCTACTTTTCCATAGGCCAGTATTGGCTCTCACCTTGATGGTGTCCAGTGGGTGCCCTGCCAGCAGTAAACACGCGCCTCCGAATCCTCCAGCAACGAAGTTTTTCAGCGGAGAAACTCTGTCAGCGATCGGTCTCTCCTGTCCCATCCTGCCCACGCGTCATGGCCAAATAACTGCACCTTTTGACTGTGCAAACCCTCAAACTTGTCCTTCCTGCACGACAGACCCTAAACAGCGCGTCTCCGCCGCACAAGCCCACTCCACAGTCTCTGCAGTCTCAGCTCTTCTGGCAGCGAGCTCGGCTTGTCCCTGGTTGGCTTCTCACGCACAGATTTTACGCACGGACTTTGGACAGGACCTCCAGGACAGGGCCGATTCCAAGCATTTGAATGTGGTTCTGGTCCCCAAAATAAAGACACATGTATCTGGAATTTGGTAATTTCTGATTCAAATTTCTATTTATTTATCTATTAGACATATGAAATCATATTTTGCTTATGAAGCAGTTCTCCTGGTGTTCTGGAATTTTGTTTTTATATTTTTTTAATCAGCGGTATTTAACTTTAAATGTTACTGCAACCACCACAAAGTCTTATTTTTGTACTATCCAAATAATGCAGACAACCCCCTATTTAGGAATTGGCTTTATTTTGTTTAGCAGCGTGAACATGGTCTGTTAATATCACCTATTGTTCATGTCTATGTTTGAAGATAATCTGCGAAGACCACGGTCAAAACCTGAAGAAACAGTGATCCCATGTGGTGACTTAATGTACCTACATTGCAATATAGAGGGCAGAGAATTGGTATTTCAAAGCTGGGGTAACAAGAAAAACAAAACAAGTAACTAGTTCCTGCTCTAAAGCAGTTTGGTTCCATCACTAGTGTTCACGTGCATCTATATTAGCTTTTTTTAGCTATTAGCTTTTCAGACAGAAAAAGGGAAAATCAGCAAATCACTTACTACTTGTGAGGTCTATTCATTCATTTTCAGCATCAAGACTAATTTTATGGTGTTTCCACATTTACTCCACAATGTTTGGCCAGCCAAGCAATCTAAAGAAGATAATAGCTGAAGGATTAACTGAAAAAACAAAGCATTTCACCTGCAGGATGGAAACATTCAACCAAAGGCAAATACATTATATACACTATTATACAGATCATTAAGTAGCCACAAGATAAAAAAAATTCCGATCTACAACAGTAGTACCAATATCTGATTTCTGTTATGAAGTCCTTTACTTGATTGCAGTATTCCTGGTTTTTCAATGAATCTGCATTAAATGTCCAGTATGCATTCCTTTTGTATATACTTATGTTTGGTTTTAAATTCAGATTAAGCAGACAGTGATCAGTTAAGAGTGCATTTGAGATTGTTATCTCTGAGGCATGGTTACACAATCAGGGGTAATCAACAATAGCCATATTTATATGGCATTGTTGATTACCCCATAGACGCCACATCTACCACTACTGCCGTGGCCCGCCATCTTGGACCCGTCACCCGCTCCTCACAGTGTAATCTGTTTAGCAGGTGCAGTGACGTGTCAGCGCATTTAAACAATCATAACTCACTGAATACTTTACCGATTTTCACACTTTTTTCTTTACTGTTAACGTCACACATGTAGTTATGATACAGGATACATGGTTTGGCGTATATTATCATTCATTATTATTATTATTATTATTAGTGGGTTTAACAGTAATATAATATGCTGATATATGATTATGTGATGTATAATGGTTTTTGCAAAACACACATACAAAACTTAGGGACATTTGACTTTTAGGTGAAAATTATGCAACAAGTGACACTGAACAGTTATACACCCTTTATATGCACTAATATGTGATAGAACCCTTTATATACACTAATATATGATAGAACCCTGTATATACACTAATATATGATAGAGCCCTGTATATACACTAATATATGATAGAGCCCTGCATATACACTAATATATGATAGAGCCCTGTATATACACTAATATATGATAGAGCCCTATATATACACTAATATATAATAGAGCCCTGTATATACACTAATATATGATAGAGCCCTGTATATACACTAATATATGATAGAGCCCTGTATATACACTAATATATGATAGAACCTTGTATATACACTAATATATGATAGAGCCCTGTATATACACTAATATGTGATAGAGCCCTGTATGTACACTAAGCAGTTAGTGCCAGTAAAATTACTGAACTCCGCCTTTTTAATGAGTTGACAAAAGAAGAAACAATGTATGAAAACATGTATTTAATATCTTCATATACACTTTCCTATTACTCCTACTTTCTTCTTCCTATTTTCCTCATACATAATGATTTGGAAATTTTCTTCAACAAAACTCGTATTATGATGGTGAACCAAAGCTGCTGACTTAGCTTGTTTGTTATTCAATGCTCAGATCTTATGTGTCTGATTTCGTTGGTGACATAAATACAGTTCGGTAATATGGTCAAACTTTCTTGTGAAAAGTAATCCCCGAGCCCTGTTTTGAATAGTCCGCCTATTTTGACAAGTCGAGAGTTTTACGTCATCAGAAAGCGCCGCTATCTGCAGACCGCGGGAGTTCGACCAATTTTCACTCATGGGTGTACTGGTTCGACTGCTCGACAAAAGCTTTTATTCCTTTTGTCTTTGTTTTCTGTGAAACTGGGTTCAGAACCAGTTCATCATCAGATCAATGTGACGACAGATCAGTGGTATCAAACCACATCCAGACGCAGAGCCGCGCGTCTTTTAAAGGCAACACTCAACCGCTTCCGTAAACATTTAACGCTCGTTTAACTTTCGTCTATCTTTAACGCTTTTACCGTTTAGTTCTGCTATGAGCCAGCGGAAACGGCTTTCTAACACACAGGGCGCCTCTCAAAACAAGGTAGGAAAGTAAAACATGTTATTATGATCTCCTTCCTATCTAAATGTCGTGTTGTACACAGAGGCGCTCAGATTCTTTAGCAGAAGATGACAGCGAGGTGCCCTTCACTCAGCCCAGCTCCTCACAGGTGCAGCGAGGCCTGGCGAGGGTCTCTAACGCACAAGTTGAACAGAAGGTACATTTTTTGGATCTCCATGTTATACTTTATGTCAGACCGCAGGCACAATGATAACATATGACCGTTACGCTCCCTGTCTATATTTTGGAGGAAAAAAGCAAACTTATTTGTTTTTGAGAAACCTTCTGGTCCAGAAACGCATCGCTGCACTCTTTGTGAACCCCTTTAGGTTCGGCCGGTGGGAACACGGTGTAAGTGGTTTGGTGTAAGTTCGGGTTTATTGATATCAGAGTTTCCAGTTGAAAAGAGTTCAGATACCGTTGCGTGTCAGTCGCTGCGGTAACATCCTCCACACTGCAACTCTGGTCCAGAGCAGGGTAAAAAAACAAAATAAATAAATGATTGAGCCATAGCACTCTCATTTGAAGGCGTCTGATTGAAATTGTGACAAAGATTTAGCTGGAATGTTAAAACGAGCTATAAGCTCCTACGGCGGTATGGCTGATAGCACTCTCGCCTCTCAGCAACAAGGTCCTGAGTTCGAATCCCGGTCGGACCAGGGCCTTTCTGAGTGCTGTTCGGTGACTCCGCTCCCATCTCTGTGTGGATTGAGAGGACAAGTGTCGAAAAATAACAATTGTAACCCGCTTTGTGACTCTGGTCTGTGAAAGGCGGTATATAACTAAAAGTTACTTTCTACTACTATTAGGTATCACCCTCATTTGCCCGTGCCAACTCTTAAGACCTCACATCAAGGACATTTGCGCCTCAAATAGTGTCCACTGACTGGAATGTGTCATTATTGTTTGATTGGACAGAACAAAAGAGGTCCAACACAATTTCACATTTCCAGGAATTTATTGATACATTTTAGTTTATCAACTGGCTGACAACAGGTAAAGTAAAATCTTGAGATGAGACTACCTTTACTGTGAAGTCATTTCACACAATACTCCCCTATATAAATGCTTCCAGCAGCAAGTGATGAAAGTCCTGTGTAAGATGTGACAATGACATAATAAAGAGTTGATTGTGTGGTGTGCAGGCAGCTGAGGTGGTTCAGTACATCATGGTGAAGGACCAGAAGAAGATTCCAGTCCGCAGAGCAGGTCAGTGTCTGTCTGTGATAGTTTTTATATTTTATTTAGAGCCAATAATGGACTAATTGTGACGTTCTCTTTTCAGATTTGGTGAAACACGTGATCAAAGATTACAGAAACATTTACCCTGAGATCATGAAACGAGTGCTGCAGACCTTCTCTCAGGTCCGTTTTTCCACACAATTTACTTCTGTTTTTGTACTATTGTTTGACACCAGTGGGAGATACATTTCACTCCTATGTCTTGGCACAGGTCTTTGGTCTGGAGCTGGTGGAAATTGACACTAAAGCCCATGTTTACATTCTGATCAACAAACTGGAGCCGCACGAAGCATTGACAACCAATCAGTGAGTGTGTTTGCTTAAAGGGGACACAGTACAGCTTTGGTCCATGTTCTGGTAGTTTTCCCTTGTCATTTACATACTACATGCATGTTTACGACTTACACCTGCATTTCCATTGCTCCTCTGACCAGTGCTTGACTTTTACAGGGGCTCCGTTAACCCCAAGACAGGCCTCCTGTGGGTCATTTTGAGTGTGATTTTTATGAAACGAGGAGCCGTTAAAGAAGGTGAGCTTATAATTTTACATTGTTTTGCACGTCAAGCTCCAACAGTTATACAAGGCAGCCCAGAGGTCTTTAAACCATTAAAAAGGTTTCATTGGATGCAACCGAATGTAAGGTGTCAAAAGATTTACAAGAATTTTTTTTAAGGGCGTTACCGTTGAGAGATTGTGGCATTAAATATTAAGAAGCAAGAAAATATGAACTTTTTTGATCTCGCAATGGAGAAATGTACATGTACAATGTTACATTTGGCATCAATAGGATCAGTGTTGTGTAAAAAGACAGGAAATGTGCAAACATGTTAAGTGATCTTATGTGCAATAAAGGTATCTTATGTACAATTAAAAAGTGACCCCCCCCCCCCCCGGATGTCCAAGTCTATGATAACTGCAAGTAACATACAGACAAACTACTATACTATTTTCTGCTATGTGTTTCAGGTCTCATCTGGAACACATTGAAGAAGCTGCGAGTGGATCCTGGGTAAGTCTCTGCCCACTAACTGTGTTTAGTATGAGAGTACTCTGTTCTAAATAATACTTATACTTCCTCATGGAAGGGCTTCATTAAACTTGAGACGAGATTAAAGCACTTGCATAGACTAAGCCGTTTTTAATAAGTTTCTGTTACTGAAAAGTTTTCACTTTAACATGCGAGTAAATGTACTTGATTCTCTCTCAGAATGTCCCCGTGTTGAAATGCGTGAGGAGATGGTGATGATGTGTGACTTGTATTTAGGGAAAGGCATGAAGTGTTTGGAGACGTGAAGAAGCTGGTCACGGATGAGTTTGTGCGGCAGAGGTGAGTCCACATTGTATGGAAGCCCGTTTCCGCCATGTTAAAAAAAAAAAAAGCATACAGAAAGTCAAAATTTTGAGTTTAAAACTCAAAATTACGACTTTTCAACTGCGCATGTGCAGTTGAAAACTCGTATGTGTTGTTGTCTGGAACGGTCTCTGGTCATCCCTGTTATAGATCCATGACCATGGGTCATCCTCTACCTGCAGATTATGTGAAGATTTTGCCTACAGACAGTGACCACATCCATGAAGTAGCAGCAATAATGTTGTGGTAGTAATTGCGTTAAAATGCAAACGGTCTCTCCGTTTATGATTAGAATCCGCTTCAGAAGCCTCTATTTAGTTTATCCTAAACGGACTGTGGAAGATTAATAATAAAACACATGTGGCTGTTCAAAGTCATTGAGCATCAACTGGTGACGTCTGGTCAGTATCACGGCTATCGATGGATGCACCAGAAATGCAGTGAATATTATTGTGACTGACAGAGAGACCGTTCGCGATTACTGGATAGTGAGGGAGGTCCGCAGACAGAGGCAGGAGAACCACAGACAGAGGCAGGAGAACCACAGACAGAGGCAGGAGAACCACAGACAGAGGCAGGTAAACCACAGTCACGGGCACTGACATTATTACCCTTTTGGAATTGCGATCAGTGCATTGAAGAGTATGTGACGTGTTTGCGTGCACGCGGGGGTGAGCTGATGGAGTGAGCGTGCGGGTAAAGTTGTTGCCGTATGAGCAAGAACACAGAGACATACAGGGAATAAGTACCTTGTCTGATTATTTTATTGTGACAAAATAAAGCCCACGACTCTTTTAGCAACAATCCGGAGAAATAACTCCGCAGATAACAGTGAGGGTCTTTTGAAAAGGGTTAGAAATAGATAAACCCATTATAGATGCATGAATAAAACCTCGTACTCAACACGTAGAAAGCGCATCCTTTCAGCCGTGGAAATACTCGCTCCGTGTGGACCCCTCTCAGCGCCATCGTCTGGTCAGAGTGGTCTACAGCAGATTGGATTGGAATGTCTCGATGGCTCATTTTCCTTTGATTTATTATAAAAACGTATTGCTCACATTATTTGTTACTATGTCGAAATAAGAAGTCGTTTGATTTAAATGTTGTATATATGTAAATTGAATTTAACATAAATAAATAAAAAGACAGCTCCTCCCTGCCTCCTACGACCGCGGTCTGGGGCTTAAACAGGAAAGTTTTACAGAATCAATCAAACAACATTATTTCTGGCTACTTCAAGGATGCAGTGGTCGCTGTCAGCAATATCTTCACATAATCTGCAGGTGAAGGACGTCCAGAGACCGTTCCAGACAACAACACATACGAGTTTTCAACTGCACATGCGCAGTTGAAAACTCGTAATTTTGACCTTTAAAGTTGAAATTTTGACTTTTAAAAGTCGTAATTTTGAGTTTTAAACTCAAAATTTTGACTTTCTGTATGCTTTTTTTTTTTTACATGGCGGAAACAGGCTTCCATAGCATTGAAATTAAAAGAGGGAATTAATTTTATTGTTTATGATGTATTCATAAAAAATAAATAAAAAAACACTATAGCATTCCATGTTTTAGGATTTGAAATGTCAACGAAAATATATTAATTACAGCCATACATTTAAACTGTATACATATGATAATCAAGTTAGTTGGCAGATTATTCTTTCCACTTAATTGATTCATTTTCTCCAGTGATTTTGCTGGAGAACATCCTCCAGATGTGTACTTTGTACTTGTTGCACATTACGTTGTTTGATATGTCTATCTCCTGCACTGTCCCAGATGGCGCAGGGGGTTAGTGCGCTGGCCTGGTCTACAGTAGGTTGCCGGTTCAAATCTGGGTGTGTTCAGAGCCAGAGTCTCTCAGACCATAGACTCTGGTTTATACCACACCGCACACAAACAGGAGAAGTGTGAACAGAACATGGAAGTATGTGTGTCTGAAAGCATTGATCCTTACATCCTGATAGACAAGGCAACTTAAAACTCTTTCATAAAGATTTATTTTCAGTATTGTGAGTAGAATGAATTGGTGTTCAGGTTTCAAGATTCAGTATATGCAATGAATATTTTTTTGTCTTATGGCAGTCGCTTCTTAGCAAGAAGGTCCTGGGTTTGAATCCCAGTCAGAACTGGGCATTCCGGTTTCCCCTATCACTACCACTAACGACAAGTACAATAGGTACAACCCTACAGGTCTTGATCAAGACTGGATCAGGAGCTGAAGGCTTGTACCTACAACATCTGGACATGGGTCTTGAGCGCTGCACTGTGTCGATGGATGGGTTACCTTAACCGTAACCTAAATGGTCTTTATTTGAATTCAATGTTAAAAGATTCCCTCATAAAAAAACGATAGAAAATCTGCCAAAAAACCTTTATCAGTGGATCTGCTGCTTCATGCGACATGATCCTCTGTTGGATCATAATTTTTTCTTGCACTTCAGTTTTTATTTCCCTATAGTAGAGAACACTTGCTAATAGGCGGATTGGTGTAAGTTCAGGGAACTCCTGAGTTTTGTTTCAATTCAGTGCAAGTCACCACAGTGACCTAAGTACTATTCACATGTGACAAACCTATTCTCAAACCTTTTTGTAGGGCTTTCAATGATTCAATACTTGTGTTACTGTGAACACCTCCACCCTCCTTGCCCTCAAGCCTGAGGGTGGAGGGCGACTGAGCCCTGTGGCCGCTTCTTCATTCAGTTAATAAAGAACATTGTGCCTCATTCACAAACTGTTCTTAAAGGTCCTATATTACACTTTTGTTCATGTTTCACAGTCAATTCTATGCACCTGTATGGTGTATCACACAACACTCAAAACTTGTGAGATTATAGCCATCTCTTGGATAGAGGTGATGTCACCTCGACTCAAACGAGCTGATCCAGAGAGGAGTCTGCTCGTCTCCCTGTGAGCCCACCTCCCCCCGCCCGCACGGTGACATAGCATCATGCTCTGAGTTGTTTATCTCTGGTACAAAGTCCATGTACCAGAGATACAAATGACTCTGGTACAGTGGAGTGGAGGTTGCATGTTCTCCCCGTGTCTGCGTAGGTTTCCTCCGGGTACTCCGGTTTCCCCTACCACTAAAAATATGTACAATAGGTCTGGCATGCGCCTCCTGTTCGGCGACCCCGCTCCCATCTCTGTGAGGAGTGAGAGGACAAATGCCCAAAAAATAACAATTGTAAACCGCTTTGTGACTCTGGTCTGTGAAAGGTGGTATATAAATAAAGCTTACTTACTTACTTACTTACTTCAGACATGAGAATAAACTTTTTCCATCAATAACAATCCATAACATCGAGCCCTATGTCCGCGATCCACAATCAGACCCTAATTATTTAGTTTACAGAGGTATAAGATGAGTTAGCGTCACTGTGCCCACAGATCGGAGGGTCTTTTATCGTGGGAATAACACTGGTTTCCAAGTCTAGTGAAGTGTCGCAGATGAACACATCTACTCAAACATTGACAGATCCTGTGAGTCGAGCCGCTTTCTTCCTCTTCGGGTCAAATGGTGCGTCACATATTTACACCCAAAACACATTTTATCCAAGTTGACATGATCCTAACACTTTTAGTCGCTGACGACAAAAGCAGAAAAACAGTAGCTCCATGTGGTGTCCGAGGGATCAAACCACAGATACGCTAGACTCGGTAGCCGGACTTGGGAGCTGGCTGCGTGCTCTGATTCACTGTTTCGATCTGTCAATCACCTCCTGGCTTTTAGTATTATTTTTATTATTTTTGACAAAAACGGCATACTTTTTGTGTATTGTTTACCCTGTTTTGACAAAAGTATCATCAATGTGGAAATCGTCACGAATGTGGACCCGAGTGTTTCACTGCCTCTCGAGGGTGAAGGAGACAGAATGCTCTCTTACTAAAGATTGACAGAATCAATGAAAAAACTACTCTGGGAATGTGTATGAAGGCCAAATAGCACTGTAATCATGTTTAAAGCAGAGAAACGTCAAAAAGCGTAATATTTGCCCTTTTAGAAAAAAAATTGTTAAGTCCTTCTTACGAGGATTTTACAAGGATTGTGGCAATAATGAATTATTTTCTCATCCAGGATTTCTCTTAGGTAAGAACAAATCATCAATTATGCCCTCAATTGGTGACCCAACCCTATTTATAGGCAAGGCAAGTTTTATTTGTATTGCACAATTCATACACAAGGCAACTCAAAGTGCTGAACAAAAGAAGATGGCATTATAATCATAAATAAATAGCGCGCATTTCTCCATCCACGGGCCACAAAACAATGGCATATATATATTGCTGCTGCTGCAGAAGGTTGCAGAGTCCGCGCTGGTCTCTCCTCGGGGTCTCCGTTCGTTGCAGCACTCCCAGGGTCCGAAATATTTCAAGATTGACCTCATAATATTTTGAGATGAAACTCATCATTTTGCTAGTTATACTTTATTCTCATAATATTTCGACTTTAAAGACAAAATATTATGAATTTAATCTCATAGCATCTGGCAAAAGAAAAAAAAAGGGATGACCCTTATGCTCCGTTGTAACGCTCCACGGCCCTGCAGTCCCTTTTATGGGCGTTAATGGGCGGTTACCTATGCTAATGACTCACCTGGCTCAATTTACGAGGAAATGGCATTCATCAATCCATGTGGCAGGTATCTGGAGTACGTGAGGATCCCTCACACCGAGCCCCTTGAGTGTGAGTTTCGCTGGGGCCAACGTGCTGAGCTGGAGGTGTCCAAACCACAGATCCTGCACTTCATGGGACAGGTCAGTGCTGCTAGCAAAGCATCTTCTCCATGTGATCTTTTCACCTTTCATTCCATACTACTTTTAATACATTTAACCTCTAATGTCTCACTAGTAACATCCTTGGAGTTGGATTTGGTCTCATTCAATAATCCACATGCAAAAATGCCATTCTGTGGGGTTATCAAACCGGTCTGACGAGCTTTGGTGGCCCCTGCAGAGAATCCGCTCAATGCTCAAGACCTAGGGACACATTTAAAGGCATAGATAACTTGGATACCTTATTTCTAAAGAAAGTCACAAAAATGTTTAAATATTATCTAGTACCCTGTACCTGTGAGTACCCTGTACCTGTCTAAATACAGTGGGCCAAAAGAGTAATTGGTCAACCACCAATTACGCAAGGTACCTGTTCCCTGTTGTTTTCATCATACAGAGCTCAAACGTTTTCTGTATGTGTGTAGGTTTTTACACACTGTAGCTGGTATTTTGGCCCATTCCTCCATGTAGATCTCTACTAGAACAGTGTTTTTTTTTTTTTTTTTAGGACTGTCGCTAGGCAACAGTCTTTTCATCTCCTTTCACTTTCAACAGATTTTCTATGTCCTTGCGGCTTGGAAGGAGGTTTTCAGTCAAAGTAGCACAATACATAGCCTAATTCTCCTATACATGGATCAATCGTCCTGGTCCCTGGCAGTAAAAACCAGCCTCAAAGCATGATGTTTTCACCCCAATGCTTCACAGTAGGTGAAGTGTTCTTTGCATACAACTCAGATTCAGATTTCAGATTCAGATTCATTTATTTGCCATTTGCAGTAAAACCACATAGGAAAAACTGTGCAAGACTACCCCGGTGTGCACCAGACACACACCAGAGCTCTTGCCACGGCGCCATGCGAACTCTGCATTCTTTCTCCAAACACGGTAAAAAGTTGAGCTTTTACCAAGTTGAGCTTTTACCAAAAAGTTATATTTAGGCATCATTACACCATAGGAAAGTCTCCCAATCCTCTTCTGGATCCTCCAGAAGCTCTCACACATGTGTTATTGCATCCACAGAACACCATACTGTTAAACATGGGGGTGGCAATGTCTTGCTTTGGAACTTTTGCAAATGGACCAGAACGATTGATTGTGTTAAAACCTCTTCCCATCAGCAGCAAGGGCATTGAAGATAAAACTGGCTGGGTCTTTCAGCATAACTATGATCCCAAACATCCATCGCCCGGGCAAAAAATTAGTTTCAAGGTTTGAGGAGGAGGAGTGGCCTAGCAGGGTGCTTGCGCAAGTCTTGAAAGTCTTAATAAGTATGGGGAAAAATGTATGGTAGAATTTTACAGTATGCTCATAGGCATTGTGAAATGAGAAAGGTAGGCTAAAAAACTATTTTACTAACTGGTCACATACTGTATTAGCCTAATGGAATGATATCCAAGCAATGCTTCCTTAGCCTAGTCTGGCACATTTTTGTGATGTCACTGCTGAGGTCTATTGAAAGTCTGTAATTTTAAATTGGAAAAAGAGCAAACGCCCTGTCTAGCCAGTCTGCAGAGCTCAACCCCATAGAAAATCTTTGGAGGAAGTTAAAAGTCTGTGTTGCCCAGCGAAGGCCCCAATACATAATTTCTCTAAAAGAGATCTGCATGAAGGAATGGGCCACAGGTTTACGTGTGTCTTTACCACATTCAATTGGAGTAAGTGGAGAATTCAGTTTTCACTCATGCTCTGCAAACACACACTGAAACAAAAACTGAAACACCGTGTTGGATCTGTCTTTTCAGCCTTTTCAAGCGGCAAGTATTGTCCAGAGCACTGGGCAAATATGGACAAAAATAAAGATGGTGATATAAATAACACTGGAAAAAATCTGTCTTACGCCAAATGCAAGTGTGTTGCTCTTAGACTGGACTCACGTTTGGAAATGGATGGAGTCTGGTGTGCTTTTGCTTAGGTTGGAACTAAAACCTGCAGCCCTTGAGGACCGGTTTGACACCCCTGCTCTAAAGGCCTACTGGAGCTACACACTGGATGTAATAAGGCCCCATTTAGACGGAGACTCTACGGAGACGCTGCAAAGCAATTGGCAAAAACGACCAGGCTCCTTATTTGAAGTCCACAGCGTTTAGATGGTGACGGAAAACAATGTAGTTCTAGTGCCCGCCCAGTAGTGGGCAGTGGAACAAACACTTCCTCAACCTCCTTGCACTACACCCACAGGTGTAATACGTGTCCTAAGGTCCTCTCTAAAATGTAAAATCTTTTTTTCAGCTTCACGAGCGGGAGCCTCAGTCCTGGAGCCAACAGTACAGAGACGCCCACCCCAGCCTTGGGGCCCCTGGTCCCTCACAGCCCAGCAGGAGCCAGAGATGAGCCCCTGCTCACCAAGCAGCACTCTCTTCAACATCAACTTTTCAACATTCAATTTCCTTATCTATACAATAATACATATAACTAGACTTTGTTTGGTTTTTCCGGTGCATACCCCCATTATTGAATATGCACCATACTGAATGACTATTTGACCATTATTTGTTTGGTTCCATCCGATATCCATTATGGGATGGAACCAATCCTAATAAATATTATATTTTTCTTATTTGGACAAAATTAATGTAAATTTGTACACATGAATACATTACAGTAGTTACGTTATAAAATCATTGCAAATGTTCCCAATTGCCAAGGGTCTTACATCGTTGAAGCCACAGAATGTGTGTTTTTTTTAAGAGCTGGGGAGTGTAGTTGTTTGATTGAAAATACATAAATACGTAAGTAGCTATCATTGTCAGTTTATTATTTATTATTTCATGCAAACAGTTCCCACATGTTTATGTTGTCACTTATTTTATTGCACATAGTTTTATTCAATTAAATATTATTTAATTTCATTGACAGTAACGTGTAATCACCAACTGGGGGACATCCACACAGGGATCACCTAGTCTGTATTTTTGTGTGTGTCCTGGTTTAGAGCCAAGGTAAGATATCTGTCATTTCCAGAGCTTCAGGCTGAGGTACCTCATTTCAAAGTAAAATGGAATTCTGCAACTTTTCCCATATACATGTATTTTTTCATTTTGAAGTATTTTCTCCAATTTAAGCATTTACAGCTATGTACCTACGTATATTCTGTGTGCTCTCAATTGATTCACGTAAATGTATATTATGTGGGTTTGGTCAGTGATGGAACTATAAAGGGATCCACCCACAGGAGAAGCAGGCTGCATCTCCTTAGTTTTTCGTGCACCTTTTCATTTACTTTTTCATTTACATATTCTGACAGCTTTTTCTTTTAATAGCAGCAATCTCCCAGCATAGCACTGATGAGGCATAACTGCATTGCTTAACTTCTGAGATAGGGCTTTGACAAGCAGCTATGTTCATACATGAACACATCCCAACATCAGCAGACTTTGTGAAATCTTTTAATGAAAAAAAAGGGACAAGTGTTTTTTTCTGTCCGACCGTGATCCCAGCCTTGAGGAAATGGATCTATTGCTACTTACAAACTAAAGCTAAAATCTACAGACTGCATAGAACACATGTCCACGAAGGTAAATGCACTCACTGGTTCTTTTTATCAAAAAAGCAGAGCATCAGATCAGCTTGCTCCACTGATTTAATCAGTGGGCCACTGATTAAATCAGTGCACATTTCATACTTGTGCTATTAAAGAATTTGGCAAGTCGGCTTTTTTATTGGAGACTTGATTAGATTTTTGGCACTTTTGCTACTTGGAGAATACAAATCCAGTAAAACTCCAGATTTGACGGTTTTTTGAATGAAGGTATATTGGTCTGGACCAGTGTTGGGTAAGTTTCATTTATTAAGTTGCTTTACTTAGTCTGAAGAAAGAAACTTTCTTTGGGATTACTTTCTTTGTTAGTGTCCATTCAAGTATAGCATCTATATGCTTTATATAGCAAGCAAAGCACTACTTGCTACTGAAAAAGTAATCAAACTACAGTAACTAAGTTACAGCCAACACTGGTCTTTATTTGAGTAGCGACAAATCGAGATTACTGTTATCAAAGCTAATTTGCAGATACATGTGTGCGTGGCTGAATGACCGCACAAAATTTTTAGCATCTCACATGACACATAAATTGTCTGAATATATGACAAGTTTGGTTTCATATGTAAAGGTCAGATATAAGGCAATATTTAAAAAGTGAATTTTACCAATAAATTACAATATAAATTTAATGGTAAAATGGGCACTGCTAAGAGTATGATATTTGTGAAGTCAGCAATTTTAGCGCATTTGAAAGCCGTCGAAATAAACAGATGCTATTTCTGATGTGAAAAAGCAGTATTCACGACTGACACAAAGTTTTAACTTATTGTAAGGTGCAGTAGTTTTTCTTCAGTCTTCATGTTTTTCAAACCCTGAGCTTCAACAAAGTTCACAGACTGACATGTAATAAGTTGTGCGTGGTTTCGCTCTGGTCCCATTGGAAAGGCTGTTCTTTAGACGTGGTCTGGGACTGTCTCCAGTGCCTCCTCGGGATCCCGGTCCACCTCTACATTCTGCAAGTGAACAAGAGTCACTGGTGAACAGACACCACACAAAAATTGCACAATACAAATCTGCTTTTTAGTTTTTTTTAAGCACAGACATGAAGCATTGTAAATGTATTCATAATGTATGGACATAGATGCTTTTAAAAAAAAAAGTGCCTGTATGAGAAAATATCAATAAAGTGAGTCTGTTTTTGTACTTGTCCTGCACTTATATTCCTGATCAATTGTGAGACTACAATAAATTGTAGATCTCATGAGAGCTTATTTGTTTATTTCATCCCTTGCCACAGGTACTGGATGTTCTAAAAATAAGTTATGTGTAAAGGGATGGAAATTACACTGTTTTCATGAATTTAGGACTTAGACTATTTCTGCTTTGGACTAATTCCCTAAATGATGGCAAACGTCTAGCTTCAATTCTTCAATAATAGTTGGGAAATAAGTAGCACAGTCGTAAACAGCACCATCTTATAAAAGCTATTAACCTTTTTTAGTGTACCAAATTATAACCACATATTTAGAATGTTACTACCATTTACCATTTTGTTTCTTAATCTCGTGGCTATGATGATGTAATGATTGAGTCCAAAACAAATGTACAAGACAAAATTGTGTTTATTTTTGTAATTAATGCAAGTAGAATTGTGGGAATATATATCATGACAAAAGGCAGAATTCATATTTTCTAACACCCCTAGGAGGTGCTGATTTTTAAAAGTATCTATGTCCACAATATTAATTAATTGCCATCGACACAAACCTGCATAAGTTGCAGGAGCTATAGTCCCAGTCAGTATTAAGTCCCAAGTCCAGTCCAACACAGCCGTACACAGTACACACTCTATGGTCTGTAAACACACTTTTTTCATGTGTCAAACATGGAAAAAACAGAAAATTCTAACTTGTTGAAAAATAGATGTTGAATTGGCAGTCTGATTGGATAGATCCAGGTCAATCACCCAAGAGAAGTGTTGAATTCTTCACTTTGTGTGATGTCAAAACGTGGAGAAATGTGTTCATTGTATCAGATACAGTGGCCCTCATTTATAAAACTTGCGTACGGCCAAATCAGGGTGTAAATGAGGCGTACGCAAAAAATGTACACTTTTCGGTATTTATCAAACTGGACGTACGCCAGGTCTGGAGGTGGTGTAAATTTTACACCCATCTCAACACGCAAATAACACGCATGACCTTCAAGATTTGGACAACAATAAACATGTTGTGTGTGCAATATTATAGGGAAACCTCTCACATTACAAATATGCAATTTTACGAAGTTACAGTATGTTAGGGCTAGTTTGTGTGATTAAATAACGTGCAAGATGTCAAACTCAAAAGTCTCCCACAAATGTGTGGGTATATGTGTAGCACCTACAATCAGTGCGCAACGGCAATCAGTTCATGCGGTTCCAAGCAAAGACACGCGCCACCGTGGAGCGCTGCGCGGGTCTGATCAGAGGAAGATTGCTCTGGGACATGCAGGGGGTACGCTCTGGTACCTCCCGGTACAAGTGTGCCATGTGATCCTGGCTTGGTTCTCCACAGCAGGCACAGGACCACGGTGTGCCACTGGTGGAGCAGCCCTGGATGAGAGGCCAGCACCGCCTTCGGCCTGTACAGCTCAGACAGGCTCTCATTCAACCATTTTAAAATAATAATCACATACAAAAAGATTAAAAAATGGGCTGCTAAACGCCTTTTTGTTACCTTTTTAAGGTCGCTCCATTTTTTTTTAACCTGTAGGCATAAATAGATAAATTATAACTATTGGCCCAATATATCTGTCAACTGTTTGACATAATATAGGGTATATTTCTTCAAACATGAATACCCTCACCTCTTCAGGATTGCGTCTTACAGGCCCCACGCTGTTTACAGATGTTGTCATCTCTTTCGACATTATCTTTTTTGAGTCCCTTGATGCCACTTTTAAGGCTTCCAAATCGTGAGACTTAAAAAAAAATCCACTTTGTTCATAATGGTCTCAATATTCTGCTCCGTGAAGTTTTTTTTCTTTGCCGTTTCCTCTCAATTTCATAAAAATGGGGCGTGAAACAGGCAGTTGCTGCATATTTCTAGGCGTGACTTTCATAAATATGTTCATTTTCAGCCGCGGCATTCATCAACAGTCGCTGTGCGTACGCTCAGATCTTGGCGGATCTTGCACGTTCATAAATCTCGCGTTAGATCTTGCGTATTTGGAATATACACCCAAAATACACCCTTTTCTGCGCAAGTTTCATAAATGAGGGCCAGTGTGCGTATACAGGCGCTCCTCAGACTGAGACACTCACCTCAGGCCGCTCTCTGTGCGTGTTCACAGCTTCAATGTTCAGATAAATGGACTCCACTTTGCAGCCTGAGGAGAGTTGAAAACACTCAGTCACAGTGGACAGAAGCAAGAGATGTACTCTAATCAAACAGACCGTAGGCCACAGGCGTGAGCTTCAGGACAGTGTGGAGAGGACACTTCAGGTATGGGAGTTCATCTGCACCAAACACAAGCACAGCACCAGCATGAGACCAGGGCAAAGGAGGGACACACGTTCAATGTACTCTTGAAGATGGCATTTTTTATTTCCTCAGGGCCAAAATCAAAACAAATAATTCCTCCTTTATGCTCTTTATAAAGTAACACTGTAGGTTTGTGTGTCTCACGTGCGCTCTTGTCCAGGAAGTATGCAAGCAGACACCTCATCACGGCCTGGTGACATATGACCAGCACGTTCTCCTGCCGCTCCAGCTCCATGATGACAGGCTCCAGGCGGTGCACCAGGTCCTCATAGGACTACACACACAGATTTATCATTTGTTTATTTGTATATCAGATTATTGGTTCATTAGAGACTGCTAGTCAAGCCAAGCTGCAAAAGTATATTTATTCGCGATGATCATATCTAATACACACGCTACAACATTCAGAACAACCACAGCTGCGTACGCTCGGATCTGGGCGGATCTCACACGTTCATAAATCCCACGCTGGCTCTTGTGTATTTGGAATATACACCCAAAATGAGGGCCATAGAGCCTCCCAACAGTGGAACACAGTACCTGAGGTCATTAGAGAATCACCCTCGTTCTATTTGTTGAAAAAGAACGCCAAAAAGTGACTTGTGACCACTAACTGCACCACCAATGTTAATGTACTGTATTGTATTTGTAAATTTAATTGTGTTTTTAATTCTTTTTTTTATTTTTAGGCTGTCCTTAACATCTGCCCACGGGACTACAGATGAAAATTAGCAAACTTGGGCACATTTACAATGTATAATGTTGATTAATGTGCACATACCCGTTTCAAATAAATAAACACAGGGACACGCACACAATTTATTACGCACAGAATTGTGAAGCAACACTTTAAATAGTAAGACTTATTTATATTATAATGTCCCCTATACCAGTGTTTGGTATAGGGGAACCTTTATTGAGCCAAGGCACACTTTTTTCATTGAAAAAATCTTGCGGCACACCACCAGGAGAAAATGTGATGACTCACATTTAGGCTACTCTGTAGCCTATATTTACAATATAAAGTGATTCTCATCAAAGTGCTTAAATCCAGGCCTTGACATTAAGCTTTGTTTAATATTTCTCAATACATTGAGTTAACAACAGTTTGGAAATAAAGTGACAATGACTGTGTGGAAAAAACATATTCAAATTCGCTATCAGCCCAAAAAGTCAAATAATGACTCTTATGTATGCAAAATAATAATACAAAAATGGCCTGTTGTGTGTTCTGTTTGATTTGTTCACAACATTTTACTTTTGTGCACAAATAACACGCATTGTTAATGCATTGGGAAAATGTAGGTATCCGAGCTTTAAATTCAGGAGTTTTGGTTGCGCTTCGGGAGGAGACACGGGAGAAACCCGAGACATGGTCCTGAACACGAGTCCATGGTTCTGTCCACGAGTCCATGGCTCTGTCCACGAGTCCATGGTTCTGTCCACAAGTCCATGGTTCTGTCGTGCGCGTATAAGGTTCTGTCGGCGCGTCTATGGTTCTGTCCACGCGACTATGGTCGGCACTCGGTACCACGTTACGGATGTGCGTTCGCTGAGCTGTTGTCATACGGCTGTCAGTACAACACGGCCACAGCTGCCCCGGGGTCAGAGCCGAGGATGTGAATCCTGTTCAGAAATAGGAACTTTTCAAAAACGTCTCTATCACTTTCACTTCTCACTCGCCACAAGGCTCCTTGCTATACCTGTTACATTTGTTGGTCGCGTCCAATTCTTATGTTTCAAAGTACTTACCTATCTGCTGCCACCTACTGATATAAAAAAGTATTATGTGGTTGCTCCACAGTTCAAAACAAGTGCCAACACTGCTTCTTCCAACAATCCTCTTAAAGCTTTACAAATATTATAATGAAGTTATAGGCCTACTGATTAACAAAATGTATAATTGTAACGTGTATTATGTTTATTGTGTTTGAATTTGAAAGAACTAACATGTTCTTCATAATAGAGTGTACATCATCTGTGGAGGACTGAGAGACTTGAATACCTCTCCTTTGGGATATCTGTATCGGTACTTGTCCTGGTCCCTTAGAGCGAACTCCTCTGGGTGGTGCTCCTGGATGGCCTCGTACGTCATCTCCTCACACACTCCCTGAGACCAGACAACAACAACATCATCACATGTGTTGTCCTTGTCCTTCCCCAAAGCTCATGACCATAGATGACGGTGGCATCGTATTCTGAGCTGTAAATCCAGAGCTTTGACAGTAAACGCAGCTCTCTCATCATCACAACAGTCTGATACACTGCAGCGGCAGTCTGACAATTTCATGCTCCGTCCTTCCCTCACTGAGAAAAAGATCTGAGATACTGGAGCTCCACTTGAGGAAGGAGCTCTGTACCTGGAGAGGACAGAGGCCCTTTCTCTGGTCTGGAACCGTGGGAGAGGATTGGGAGCTACTGATTTTCATCTATTCCAGTGCATGTTAAAGTGCCGGATTCCATGAAGTCAAAGGGACATTTCCCAGGACTAAATCTGGTCTTAAGCAGGTTTAAAACCAGTCTAGAGCAGGACTAAATCAGGCCTACAGCAAGAATAAAGGTCTAAGACAGGTCTAAAGCAGGGCTCACCGCGTCAATCTCATTGAGGGCTTTCCACTGCTCATAGGCCACTCCCAGAGCCTCGGCAGTCTGAATGGTCCTCTTCATGTGGCTTGTCCAAACCTTCAGATCCTTGATGTTCTGTCCGCTCATGTACTGACCCAGAGCGTGTGCGTACTAAGGAGGAAGAGTGGAGAGATGGGAGAGAGGGAAGAAGCCCAGGTCAATCCCTCAAATAAATACTCAAAACAAAACAAAACATGTGTCATAAAGTAGACGGAAATCAACTGACTTATATTACAGATTTTTATCCCATAAATTAATCAAAACTAAGCAGAACAGAATCATTCAGTGGAGACCCATTTTCCCATTTTCTCATCAGCTCCTGACTAATGTGTAGATTGTAATAAAATAAGGAATTCTGCAGATTCTAAGCTTTCAAAAATCTACAAATGCCCGACCCGAGTCATCCCTTCCTGTCCCGTTGTAATTGTACTCAGGCACCCACCTGTCCCACCCGGTCTTGTACCGAATGGGACAACAGTCCCCGTTCCCCCTCTTGGACTGGCCTGAGTCCCCTCTCCTGTATCTTGTTCCCCCTCTAGGTCAGGCCCAAGTCCCCTCCTGTCCTGTACCTTGTTCCCCCTCTGAGACAGGCCCGAGTCCCCTCCGATACGCCCCTGCAGGTTCAGTTCGCTCTCCCCATGGCGGCTCAGGTAGATGGACCGCGGCGTGACGTGGATGTTCATGAGGTAATAGACAATCCTGCTCTGGATGTGGTCCTGCACGCAGTTGACCAGGTACCGACTGCCCACATTGAAGATCTTTATGTAGGACAGGCTCCTGAGGAACACAGAAGAGGTTACAATACATAATAATTGTGTGTGTTTGTTTTGGTTTTTTGTTATTGTAAAACCATTTTCAGTCTGAAACACTCTAGGCTCTAGTCTAGGGTGTGGTCACAGAGAGGTTTGAGCCCTCAGATCTTTGAAAAACTACCTATCCTTGTGGTCATCAAGTGGGACATAGTTCTGCTTGTAACACTCGATCCTCTTCAGAAAGTCCTCCACCGCCTCTTCTTTGTCACAGTCCACGTAGTCCGGACTGCTCAGCTTCACCTGCTGCTTGCACACACACATACACACACATTCAGAGCCGAGCATTTTATCTGGGCCCTGAAGCATCCTGCTCATGTTGAGACAGTGAAGTGTATAACTACCTTTTATAAAGTGCAGTGGTAAGTTTGAATAAAGATCTACAGTATTTCCTCTTGTGATTTTTTTAACAGCTGTTTATGTTTCTGTTGTCCAGATTGTCACCCTGTAGCCCTTGATAGAACAAGGTCTAGATACACTAACCAGGCTGCAGCCAACATTCAACACCCAACAGCCAACTGCTCTCTTCACCCAGGTGGGCTAACAACTTGTTGCCCCACTTATTACAAACCTTGACCCCAGTGGAGGGAAAAGTAAGAGAAGCAGCTTGCACTGGGGGTTGTGGGGTTTGTTTCACATGCACGCCTGTTGTATTGGGGGTAAATTATTCCCAGATTGTGGGAAGGATCGGGTTGGTGTATCTCAGGATTTAAAGTCCATTGATCATCTTCAGACACCATTGAGAATAGATCCTTGAGAAGTACATGATAACACATGCTTACTTACTTTAATGTTCTCTTCAATGATCTCTGGGTCGTCACAGATGGACTCCACAAAGAAAACCTAAAGTCAAGTAATTCAAAACTTTCAATAAATACTTTCAATACTTTCAATATTATTATTCAAAATGAACCTTGTATCCATTTTCTTTGGCAAAGCTGAAGATGAGGTCTCTGCGATCGGGGGTCGTGTTGGTTGCATCGAACACCTGAAACAAAAACCTCAATACAGTTTTGATGTGATTGTGGTCTGCACCAGTCCTGCTTCAGCCCTGTGTCCAGTTCCGGTTCAGTTCAGCTTTAGTCCTACTTCAGGCCTGCTTCATTCCTTTGTCCAGTTACAGGTTCAGTACAGTGATGCCTGGCAATAAAGCGGTTCACCGTTTGCAGCCTCACTGTTAAGTGTACTTTTTTTGTGTGCAATTTTGCGTACTTTTTCACAGTGTGCTTTTCATGCGCTGTGTATACTCAACATAATTTAACTGCTTGTTTAACATTTGTGGCATGTGTACACTGCAGTGATTAGTTCATAGGACTTCCGTGGTCCTCCCGTAGTCCTCAGTCTTGTTCCTGACCCTCAGCATGGTGTTCTCTGCAGCAATATTTTACTTTGTATGCACGGCAACGCTCAGACCTACAACGAACAGATTTGATATCTCTGTGACCGCACTTCAACAGTCGTGAGTTCAGTGTGTGTGGTGAGAGGTTTTACAGCCTTAAAATATATAGCTGCTAGTTTGCAGATTTCACTTATTGCAGGTTTTTTTTTTTTTTTTTAGAACAACCCCCCGGGATAAACAAAGGACCAGTGCGTAGGTCCTGGTTCATACCGCAACTTGTCCCATGCCTCGTGTGAAGTACTCGCACACATCCTTCAGTGCGGAGATGGCACAGGCTCTGCACAAAACAAACGCATTTTACTTTTACATTTAAATGTGTATCCCAGCAGAGGTAATTCAAGGGAACTGGTCAGTCCTGGGTTCAGTCCCTGGTTCAGTCCTGGTGCAGACCTGCGGATCTTCATGGCCTCGCTGTTGTCTGGCCTGAAGAACTCAAAGCTGTTGTAAGTCTTGGTAGCGTCTCGGCGATACTGACCCACATTAAACACTACAACACAGAAAAACATCAGTCAGTATAAAAGGAAGAATCTTTAAAGCTTCAACATCTGATACGCCTTCATCCCTCCTTTTGTGTGATGTCATAATGGGACAATGCATATATTTATGCAGCAAGACCTTTGGTGGTGACTCCAATCCAGTTCAGGTACCGTGTGAGCTTCTTGGAGATATAAGTTTTCCCTCGTGCCGGCAGTCCTACCATCACAATCATTGTTGGGGAGTTTGTGAACTGAGGCACCGAGGCTGGAAACAAGAGGAAAAAATGTCACCAAATGAAAGTCAACAACAACAGGTGAAAAACAATACGTATCATTTAGGGATCAGAACGGACCGAAGCATATGCAGAATTTATTAGCTGAAGTATTAGCAAATACTACCTCAGTCAAGCCCAGTGGATGCTTCATCTAAAGAGAGCTCAGCCTCAACTGAGCTATCAAACACAGGAAACGCCCAAAACTGGAAATGCCCAGGATATGATAATAAGTGACAGTTCACCTGTCCAACTGTTCACCTACTGTTGAACAGTGTATATTTCATGGCATGGCTATTTGCACTTCCAAATCAATGTTTCAGGACTGTGAAGCCTAACCCAATAATGGAGATGAAAATGGGATCATAAAACATAAAATTCATCTGTAAATAAGTGAATTCTTAAATCATGTGCAATACTGCAACTTCAGAATGTCACTGAACAATGTCACTTTACCTTATCTACTTATTATCCTGCACTATATAACTGTACAGTATATAACTCTGCACTACTACTACATATTTTTTTTTTCTTATTCACACACAAAAGCGACTCAGCATGAACTACTGCTGCAGCAGCCCAAAGAGGCAGATAGTGACTCAAACGGGTCTCCCTCTCTAAATGTAATGAGTGAATAGGTTATTGAACAGCAATAAACGACAGGCCGTCTGAGGTCATGGACTTTTACACACGCTGAATTACTGACACAGGCTGCATACGTGTGCCTTTAATTACAAAAAATCAAACCAACATCCAACATGTCCCTTCACACAACGTCTGGCATTGAGAAAAGTGAGAAAAATGTAGGAAGGAAAATGATTTCGATCAATATGTTGTTAATGTGTCAGGCCTATATTTACAGAAAAGAAAATGTAAACAAACCCTATTCCCTCCCCGAGAAGACAAAAGTTGCATAATTGGACTTGTAGATTCCACTCTCACCCTCAGAGTGACCCCAGATTACATCAGAGTGAAGGCTAATGTCCAACAGGTCAACGGACTGATGGACACTGGGCTGATTTCAAATTACACACAAACTAACAAAAACTATATTCCAGAATTTAGAGCAGCCATTTCTGTATCTTAAGTCAAGTTAAAAGAAATATGGGGGGTTGGGGTTATGTGGCCTATTAAAATACTGCTTTGACAAAATAGAACTTGATCTGAACAAGGAAAAGCCAAGTTGAAAATACATGTTTTTGTTTCGAATTTGGGTAAAAAAAATTCTATTTTTACTCACATCCTCTCCTTTTGCTGAGTCTGTTTTTCATCCATGGGACCCAAGTTTTCTCCAGTGGAGTTTGAGTGAGCGACACGTGTTTGCTCGACATTCTAAGTTTGACAAGTGAGGAGGTTTTGAGGAGTGGTGGAGAGGTCCATGCAGCAGGTGAACTTCTGTCATGTGTGGGGGGTGGGACTTAGTGTGTGGTATTCTAGTTTGATTGGGGGATAATAGATGAAAAGACAGGCTGTGATTGGACTGGATCAATCACTCACTACGCCCATAAAGTAGGTGAATCAGTGACATTCTAAAAAAACAACTAAAACAACTTTACCCTGCCCTTTCAGTCAAAATGCTCTGCTTTCAAACTTGTTACTGTTTTCAACATTTTCATTGACTCAAAGTTCACATTTGTGAGTCAAATAATATTAAAACATATTGCATAAATGAATTGAATGTATTTCAAGATTCAAGTATTTTTCAATCCCACAGATGATATGATTGACAAATAAAGTATTACCAAACTACCAAATGCAACCTAAGTGACTTTGATTATTCAGTTCCTATGGTGCACTTTTTAACTGTAGACTTGAGAAAATAAAAACAGAAACTCAGAACTCAACGCCCACTAGTGGCGATCACCTGAATTGCTCAACTACCAACCCTTTTTTGTTGTTGACACAAACCACAAAAAGGGGAATATACATGTAAAACAACATGACTCAGATAGAGAGCCCTGATGCATTGAGCCATGTCTAACATTTCGAGTTCTATGGTTTAAACATGATTACAGTGCTAAACATGGTTTTCCACTGACGTCACGCACTACCCACAATTCCGCAGTTTGCCATTTTAAAAGTTGTATGTAAACAAAGCGTTCAAATAACTTTTTTGCGCTAAAACATGCCGACTGCCTGCATCGTTTGGGGGTGTACTAACCGTGCAGATTGTGGGGACATTCCGAAGGCTATTTCGAGCCAGGGGAGCGACACTCGACAGAGAAAAGAACACTTTTCTTGGAAGGATCAACCGAGAGGGATTCAACCCTAACACCTGAAAAACGGCACTATAAGGTCTGTTCTGACCATTTCATAACAGGTAAGGGCTAGCTTAATCTGTGCATTTGTGGTTTATATTCAGAGCTGCGATTTGACTGTGATACTAATGGTGCATTCAGACCGCAAACGCTCAAAGGCTTAAGCCCCGCTCACTAGACGAGCATTCTCTAGGACTTCACACCAGAACGTCCTGGCCAGCGCCGGAAGTGCCGGAAATAGCCGGCCAGCTCTGATAATAACAGAGTTTAGCTAGCGGCTTCTTGTGTACAGATATTCTCCAATATTTAGCTTTGCAGCGTGTCTTTGTTCAGAGACCTTCCACGTGCTTTATACAACAGTGTTCACGGAGGTGCGCCATACGTTTTTTGTATTATTAAACACACTCGAAGCAGTTGCATAAGGCCACGGGAGCATGACAATGCATATATTCACAAGCACACAGTCCCCCATTGTCAACCCTGGTTTAGTCCTGATGTAGCTCCTGTTTTGGCTGTTTACAGTATGTTCAGTCTGCTCACTCAGACACTAATGTCCCCGTGACCACTTTGCAGCTCTCTGATTGGTCGCTGCACGAACGTCCCGAGGAAAGGTCGAGCAAAGTTTATCTCCTATGGGCGACCATTTTCCGCTCCTGCTCCTCCCCTTTGACTATCCCGCCAAGTCCGTGCGTCTCTACTGAGCGGTCCGTGCGTGTGTGTCGAGAGGTCCGTGCGTTTTGACAGCATTGCTGTCAAAACGCATGTTACAGCATGTTACCCGTGCCATGACGTCACGTCGGCCCACTGCCTTACACTGATTGGTCAACGAGTGTCGTCACTGGAAGCGACATCTGACCCTTTGGGAAAAACAACTCAACCGCCATCTTTAAAACCAGCTGCTCTGCTCGAATCTGCTTCGGCTACATTACGTCCTCCTCACTCCAGAGAAATGGAATTGGACAGAAAGCACCAAAAGTCCTGGTCCTGGTCGGTGGACGAGGTCCACACGTTCCTCTCTTCAGGCCAAAAGAAAGAATTCAAAGGCAGCTCGAGGCTCAACACAGTTTTCAGGGAGATCACCCAGCTCTGGATTTGTTCACTAGTCTGTGGTAATCCTGGAAATAACCGGCTAGCTACGAATCCCGTTAAAGCTCTCACTGAAATATATTTACTGTGTAAATGCTCGATTGTCTGTTGTACACAGTGAGCTAGCTACATTTAGCTTAATTTAGCTATCGATAGCAAGCTAAGCTAACGTCCTCCTTGTGCTACCAGAGAGGAGAACACTCTGGATCACTGTTACACCACCATACGCAGAGCTTTTCGCGCTGTTCCCAAGCCAGCCCTCGGCTTCTCAGATCACTCCATGATACATCTGGTTCCTGCTTACAGACAAAGACTAAAGCTCTCGAAACCTGCAGTGAGGAGCTCCAAAGTGTGGTCTGATGAAGCTGTGGAAGAGCTGCGCGCATGCATGGAATCTACAGACTGGGACCTTTTCAGAGCTGCCACAGACAGCTTGGATGAATATACGGACACTGTGACGTCATACATCCACTTCTGTGAGGATAGCATCATTCCAACAAGGACCAGGGTCATCTATAACAACAACAAACCCTGGTTCACTGCTAAACTCCGGCAGCTCAGGAAAGCAAAGGAGTCTGCTTTCAGGGAGGGGGACCGCAGCGGCTACAAAGCAGCTAAATATCAATTCAGGAGAGAACTGAAAGCAGCCAAGTCCCGGCACAGAGAACGACTACAGTAGGTCCCATTTCGTTTTGTCGTCTTCATTCACGCTTTTCGGGAATCACGCAGCTGCGTGAAAAATATTACATCTTATCGCCACAAGGTGGCAGGCTAAGTCCGCTTTAGCTCTGCCAGCGACTTAGACGCTCAGGTATAAGACTGCGTGCAAACCTGTCTATCCCAGAGATGATATGTTGGCCGAATGGTTAGCATTAAAGACTGGGACCTTTGTCTACATCTAAGTTTTTATTTGTGGAAAGTGCTCAGAATGAGAGAATGATGGGTCATTTTCTAAATACTATCTGTAATACGCATTTCTAGCAAGATCTCCGCGTCAAACTAACACACTAGCTAGCATTAGCTGGCAAAGCCCAGTGAACTGCGGTTTGTTTACAAACTGGGCTTTTTCTAGAACCTTACGAACATTTTCCCTTTTAAATGTATGTACATTGCAATCGCAATAGTAACTAGTTAGTTGTTGAGCGTGTAGAGTCTTCGAAACATACGCGTGTTATTGTAATTGTCTCACTGCAATACTTGATATTGCCATCGCTAGCAGTAACAATGGCTCTATTGTTGTAGTTACGAGAGGCACCCTCTATCAAAGGGACCACTCACGTCCACACCCCATGGCCCATCAGCAGAGGTGTTGATGGGGCCCCATCCCCCCAGTTCAGTGACTGCAGGCGAATCTGATAGGTAAGTTTGCCAAATGCAACTTCTGCTTACAGGTTACCACTCATCCACCGTCAACTCTAAAAAGTATTTTGTCCTACAGGGAAGAATTTCACATTGCAGGAGTTGAACCTCTGACAGCAGATACAAGGTTTACAATCGTTAGAGGAAAGGTAACATGCATGAATTTTACATTTGACGAATACTGTTTTTTGTCAAAAAAATTCTATGTGTTTATGTGGGGGGTCCTCATAATTTTACTATATTGGGCTGTCTCTTTTTAACAGAATAGAGTTTGTGGGGGATGGAGTTTC